GATTGGAAGCACTTAGCAAATTCTGGATTGACAGAGTATATGGATCAGTGAAGCTGGAAACCGTTTATCTTTTAAATTATCTAAACATATTCTTCCCACTGTGCCTACTTTAGTTGTTATGTTTGGGTCACAGCATATACCGTACAGGCCTCTGTTGATACTTTTCTGAAAATAGTTAATATTTTATTAGGTATCCCTAAGGAGGAGAAAGCCATCAGAAAGGCTCTCAGATTCCCTTTCTATCTTGACGAGTACAGGAGTGGATTTTCAGTGGCGATTACATACTCAGAGGGCAGGAAAGGGCCACAGCTTATGTCCAAAATGCCAGGCTGATCCTGGCCTTGGGCGAAGATTGCTGGTGTACCATCTGCAAAACTGTCTTTCGTGAGTCCAAACTTATATGGAATGTCTTTGTGTGGCATTTCTAACCCCACCTCTGTTGCCATTTCATCACATACCGCTTGAAAGAGACATCATTACATTATAACTGGTCAGTCGGAAAAAAATGTACATTTTGTCCCGAAATAGACAAACCAGAAACACTGAAACATAGTTTACAAAAGGGATTGGCAACTTCCACTGTAAATTCCAAAGGCGAATTTGAGGACGGTTTCAATGGCCCGAGTCAGAGCTAGGAGCTGGAAGCCACGGTGTTGAGAGGTAATGCTTCCCAGTTTTGGGGCCCACAAGAATAGCTGAGAGCTATTAGCACACAGAGGTAAATCAGAGTATTATTTACGATTTATTTTGTATTTCTGTTATGCCTTCTTTGCCAGGATCTCGGACAACTTCATGGCTAAGGACGGCAGCTTCACAATATTCCTGCCTTCACATGAGCCTTGTTAGTTCATTGCATAAACCAAGTCAAGACTGGTTAATTACTCATTGCAAAGCACCCATTGAATGCTGAAAAGTGTGTGTATTTTATCGACACCTATCGCTACATACAGTTTTCATATTTAAAAGTTCTGTGTGTGATGTGCCTACCTTAACAGATTTTAAGATGTATCTTCCAGGAACACTGCTCGGGCTCACTCCATTAGGGTAATACTATTCATTTAATGGAATCACTTATGATTTACACTGGTGTAAGTGGGACTGGAATCTGGGCCTTGATCTTTTTAATGCAAATTCATCAATTCTGTTAGATAAGAGATGAAAGGAGTCCATTATGTTCTTCAGTCATCTCTTGAAGCAAAATCATTTGATTGGTTCCAGGCAGTAAGTGGTCCCTACTCCTGCAGTTAGCTCCAGAGATGAAACCTTGGGTTGGTGACCAAAGCTCTTACTGAAGTTATTTATTTTTTATGGCCAGTGATCAATGATAAGTGCTAATAATGACAGCAGTGATTTCAAAGTTAAAAGTTAAGAATGTAAAACTTAGACTAGGATGTTCCTCTGGTGTTAGGCTGAGCGCTATGTGTTTAAACACACACGTTCTTCTAATTCAAAACGTTTTATTCTCCTTTTAAATCCACACCTTGATGTTGATCTGACAGTGGTGCAAATGAGAAGGTCACAGAGGTCTCTCTGATGTAAAATCAAAGGGAATTCAGAAGCACAGTGCAGATTCTGCAATAGGGTAAAATACGGAGTACATAAACATAACAAATAGCTGGAACATACAAAAGTATATGAAGTGCCAAATGTCTACAATACTGCAAATTAACTGCTATGGCAGGAGAGCTAGCAGTGGTGTTCAGAATGGAAAAGCAGAACTCGATTACAGAGATCATAAAATAATCCTCTCCCTTGATCTTCGGCTCCCTAAACCAGGAGAGGCAGAGAGTTGGCTCTGGGCAAACAATCTTTTATCAGTAATGGATGTGGCACTGCTTTGTCCAGTAAAATTGCTGATTTACTAATAGGAAAAAAATAAATCTTTTGTGATGACACCAACCTCTCTAACCTGCTAAAGGAAGTGCAAACAGATGGGTATCTCTGCGACTGTGAGTGATGAAACCAGTCTAGAGAAATACCAGTAATGTCTGACGAGAACGAATATTGCAACACACAGTAACATCACCAGCATGCCCCATTAGGATATATTAATTTTCTTTGTGCCATGAATATGACCAATGACACTGCATGGTTTGATTTAATAGATCTGCCTCTTCTAATAAAAAGGTAACATATTTTATACCAGTGTGAAACATGCCCAGTGACGCCTGGACAGATTTAAATTCCTTAGACTTTCCTCTTTATTACAATGCCAGCAAAATTAAGGGACTTTTGATCCTACTAGTAAATTTTAAAAAAAGTCTAGGATACCTGCTTTATGGACTTTGGAGAGGAAGAAATAGTTATTTTGCTTCTGAGATGAGAATGTATTTTTTGAAATAATAATTTCCCTTTATATGTGAAACTCCATACCAGTTTTGATACCGGTGATGTTTTTCCTTAAGCCTAATCTGATGTACTTCAAAAACAATCGCAACAAAGTCTGGTTGATTTAAACTGGTACAAACTACTGATATAAACCAGGTGAAACACATAAGTGTGAATAGAATGAGGCCCTGTGTTGTTGACAGAGCAGGTAGATATAGCTCAGAAACTTATTTGTGGAGTTATGTAGTTTGCAGTAAGTCAAGTACATAAAAAGATTAATACCTATCACATATCAATGCTGAGGAAATGGTACTTTGTTGATTATGAATCAAAATTGAAGGACTTCTGGGTGCAGCTCATCAAATACTGACTTAGAAAACAATTTTCTTCTAGCATTTTTTTTCTCCTCAGTAGTCTACAAAGGCAGTTGGGTAATTTTTGTGGTTATCCTTTAATCCTTAAATCACAACAATTCAGTATAACTTCATGTCAAAATCAGCCAATAAAAGTATAAAATAGGGATTAGCAAGAGTATTTTTAGATTAAAATTACTAGAGTTGGAAAGAAGTGGCACATAATCTCAGTACCTTCACAAGCGCTGTAGTAAGCTGAAGAGGATTTGTTCTGTTTTGTTTGAAGACTGATAGCATAAGTTACAAGGGAGAGAAGCTATTATTCTAACAGGGAGGATTTCACAATAATCATAATCCATAACTGTACATAAATTTAATTGAATGTTCATTCCTTTTTGTCTGATAACTTTTAATCTTCAATGCTATACAATACTTCTGCTTGAACTAGCAAAGCACATGAGAAAGTTAAACCGATCGTTTTGGTCATAAATTAGGACATTCGTACAGCTACAGCAATTGCTTTCATTTCTAAATATTAAAACAAATGACTACTCTCGTTTACCCTTGAGGCACAAGAGTCTCATTGTTTATATTGTGATATAATTCGCATGAGTGAATATAAGGTTCTGATGGAACAAAAAATAATTCCTCTTCATTCCTGGCCCAAAGTGCTCAAGCTGGTTGCATGGCCACATTTGCAGCACTAAGTCCCAGACTCAGTTTGCGTATTTGAGAGGACAAAGAAAAACAACCCCCCAGCCTCTGATATACAATTTGCTTTTGAAGGAAGCATGTATTCGTTTCAGATCCTGATACTTGGGATATTTCCTAAATCTTGCCTGGAGCTCTGTATGACAGGTATGAATCACAGTAAATGGCAACTACTGTCTACGCTTCCCTTTTTAGAACATACACAAATTTATTGGTTAATGTTTATATAAGCACAATGTAAGTGCATCTGATTTACTGTACCAATATCTAGTAGACTATCCGTTCTACTCAACAGCATTTAAATGACCTTTGGGGTGTACAATGTATGTCCCATTAACGACAAGGTGCAGCTTTGGGCAATAACACAAATGTTAGTTTATTTATATGTACAATGATTATTTTTTTTTTTTTGCTCAACTGCTTTTACAGCTTCACCAAGTTATTGTAGAGTCAATAGCTGACTTAGTGACTCTGAAAAACTAAGTAATACATTGTAAGTGTTCATTGCTAGAAAAAGAAAACTGTTGGGTTTATTTTTGTGACTTTTAGATTCAGAGAACTGGCTAAAATCAATTTATAATTCAAAGAGATTGGATGAATCCTACACTAAGCAGTAAAATTGCTTCCACTTTGATAGTGTGCATTAAAATATAACATTAAGGTAACAGTCATTGATTCGGATACAGAATGGGGAGTGAATCTGGGTTTGTCAAGTGTAGGTGCTTGGGCAACAACTTGACAGGTTTCAAGCCAGTCTGTCTTGAATAGTTTAGAAAAAGATTCAGAAGAAAACCAAGGAATCTAACCTAGTAACTACTGTTATTAAGGAATAAACATGAGTTCTCTCGGCAAATCACTCTGTGCAGTAACAAGAGAACAACCATCCAAGCTGTCCCTAGAGAACCATACATTGAATTATGAGAATTTTATTGAGAGAGAGCAGGATCAGATGACTGATGAGTGGTTGCTATGCTATTGCCACTTTCTGCCTGAGGTCAGGACCCAGCTTTTCTTTTATCACAGCAGAAGACCTCTTCTAATGATCAGTCCTCAGAGATTAACGGGACCAGCTGAGTTTCAGAGCTCCCTAAGGAAGATTATTACTCAGGCTACGAATGATACTATTGAAATGCTTTAATTATCTGTTGCCATTAGTTGTTGGTATAGTTGTTCTTACATGACGCTTTGTTTATCATCATCTTCAAAGGTCACGTTGGAGAACTGATGCCTTTCAGCAAAAGAATTAGGGAATAAGTGAATTGGAATGATACTGGCATGTGTCACGTTCTGATCTTACTGAGGAGACATGTTTTGAAATCCTGTGCCAGTGCTGTGGCAGAAATACAGATGTGATTCATACCATCTACCGGGTCCTGTTGTGAAGAATTCCCCTACTGGCAAATGAGGTGGTTAATCTACTGAATTTTGACTCATAGAGCCAGGTATTCCTGAAATAAGACCCGCTAGCTGCTCGTCAGGTAAAAGTGAAAAAAAAAGCTTTCAGTGTTTGATTATAAAGTACATTGTATTGTAAAGCCATACTAGCTTATACTTTTTTACAGCCTTTGTATACACAACCTTTTTAAAATTCTAAAAATTAGAAAGTACCTGGTCTGGGGACTTTGGTACAGATTCGGCCATTTCCAAAAAACCCTGCTGGACATCGGCCGCAGACATATCCGACGTAAGGGGGTTTCCGATCAAAACATAAGACTCCAGGAAAACATGGCCTGTTGGCACAGGTAGTAACATGTGCCAGTGGTGCTGCATGACCTAGAAAAGAAGTTCAAGCACGTTTGTTTAGAATTTCTCAAATCAAATGCATATATAAGATTAAGCAGTGGTTGCCTGAGCCCGGTTAAAGCTTTTATTCTTTTAAAGTCTAATTAATGCAGAATGTTCCCAAACCTTGAACCAAACATGAGAATGTCCTGTAGGCACAGTGTAACAGAACAGCTGTTTCTCATTAAAGCAAGATTTATTAGTCTGCTAATTGTTTTCAAGTTTATTACTCAAAGTTGTTTGACATTTATCATGGATAATATAGAAACTGTAATTTTCAGCATAAGTGAAAGAGTAACTGAGGGAGATATTGGGGACCCTATAGCAGGCTTATTTAGGGAACCTATTTAGCTTCCCTAAAATATTATTCAGTATGATATTCTGTATTATTCAGACATCCCTTTGGTCTTTTATAATTGGAAGGTAATCATCAAGCCTTACAGCACATATACCTTACCTTTAAAAATACACTGTCAAGTACATATGTTTCTGATCTAGAAATCATGCTTAATGTGTCAAACCTTGTATGACAGGAGACTACTTTAATTATCTTAGAACTACGTGCAAAATGTAACACTCAAGTAGTATATAATATTTTATCACTTGTGATGTCACTAAATAGGAAGTGTATATGAACTGCCTGTGAAGTATTTAATAGTGTCAAGACAGAGAACAGATGATGAATAAAATCTTAATGATGGTTGTAGATCTTTTTTAATTGCCTCCAGTGAGGTCTCCATCATGATTCTCAAGTATTTTCAGCATTATTCTTGCACCTTGCCTACTGCATTATGATGGATACTTGCAAGAGGCAAGTTCTAGTTAGGTGTTAGCTGGCCTGGTACAGATATAAAAAAAGAGCGTCAGAAAAAACCTCACTTTTGTTTTACAACAACAGGTATGCCCAGTCTCAATTTTTCTGCTTCCTGCTTTCACTAGAAAATCAACCAAGCATGCCATGCTCTTCCAACAGGACCAACGCGTACAGGTGCACGCCCCGGTTAGGAGTGCGGTAGTGCTCCGCGTCTGGGAAAAGCGGCTGCCACAGTCAAGTTCGTACTTCAGGAGTCGATCTTTGCTTATGCTCAAAACTCAATCTTCATTCAGTGAGTGCCTGTCAAACGCTGAAATAAAACGTATCACTTGGCGATGGCAAGTTGGCGTAAGCTGTCAGTCTTATTATCTTGCTTTGCATTGATCACTAAGTTTTGGAGTGATTTTGTTCTACCTCAGAAGCGATGCAATTTCTAGTTAAGCCTGACCACTCTGATTACCATTGCTGTAATGGCTCGCTTCCCATTTAAAATTGTTTAGCAGCAATCCAGTCTGATGTATTGAGGAGGTTTTTGATTTTTAACTCTGTCTTTCTATGATGTATTATAAACAGCTAGTTTACATTTGCTGTTAAGATGGTAAAATGTAAGATTTTGGAATATGTAAAATGCAGCAACTGAAAAAGACTTCATATTCTTGTATACCTACCATGTCTATCACTTATGGTAAAATTCTTTATTACAGGAGAATCCTTTGCTGCTAAGGGTTGCAATAGATACTTCACCTCAGTCTTGTTCAAATCACCTTTGCCATTGCCTTTTTCAATGCTTAAAGCTTTTGTAATGTCAGCAGCAAGCACAGCTGTGAAAAGAAAGCATGGAGACAAGGAAACAAGGTGTTAGAGCTTAGCTGTGATTGATGATAAAAAGCAACAGTAACAGCAAATCAGATAACCTGACGTAAGTTTATTCTGGAAGCCAACCATCAAGCAAATAAAGGCAAATCAGGTGAGTCAGCTGCTGACGGGCAGCAAAGCTTCAGCACAAATATAGTCAAAATTACTGTGCCCAAACTCACTGAACTTTGCTTATCTGGGAGACATACTTAATATGCACAGTGATCTTTTTATTGAGCTAAGGGCACTAAGAAGGCCTCAGGTCCCCCTTCTGTCTGGGCATGTTTGTTGGCTTCGGTTAGTTCAGCTGAAAAGTTTGTACATGTCAAAATACCTGTACAAAGTATACATGGACGGAAAGAGGAAAATTGATTAGTGGAGACTCTAAAAAATACTGTTTTCTGCATAATTTTAAGATAATTTCTTGAATGAATTAGGTATTGTAAAGTCTATGTGGATATATGTTGTGAAATAAACTATTTCCTTGGGTCTCTTGGATATTCTGTACTCTTAAAGCCTGAGACTATGACTCTGTGTATGTATTAAATAATGCGATGAGCTGTAGCCAACTCTAAGAGCTATAAAGTTACTGTAGTTTTCTCCTCCTTCCTCACAGAAGCCTTTATACTTGCTTCAGCAAGGGTAGAATGTTAAGTCTGTATCTCAGAACCACAAAGAATGATTTCTACCCTATTTTGGGTGGAAAAGGAAGCCCTCGGGTTTATTTCTTCTAATAAATGTGCATTTCTGAAATATGGAAATATTTCTGTAATTAAAAAAATGCAAAGGAAGAAATTGCTGTTCTGATATGTTTCAAAAAAGGACATTATTTCGTATATCCTTCCTTCACTGGTCAAATTAGCTACAAAAATATGCATTAGTGAAACAGGTGCAAAATCACTTTGAAATAACCAATGTGGCCAAATAATACAGCAAAGAAATAATCTGTACAGACATTTGGTAATATGATTGAAGGGATATTTGGTAAACCTAGCAAAGGAAGTCCTGCTGGTGCCAGGATCCTGCAGCTTCAACTGATCTTTTTCATTTGATATTTTTTTTTCTTTTGGTAGTCAATATCAGGAAAAGTTAATATCTGCACAGTTAATATCTGTAACTTTTGCTTCTCAGATTTCTTTGGAAACACCAACAAACAAACAAACAAATGCAAAACACATCACTTGTTAACTTCTCTCCTTCTGGCCAACCAAATGTTATTTTTGGAGAAGACTTATGTATATACAACTGAAACAAGCAGAGTATGAGTAAGTCTCATCCCATGCTCTGAGAGGGTCTCGGAAGAGTACAAATTCACTGTAGCTCTCCTGCTAAACACTCTATTGCCCCAAAAGCAAATACTGAGCAGGTGTAAAATTGTTCCTAGCCATTTCTTTCACTAGTTGGGACCCGTGGCATGACTTTACGCCAAGCATGAGCTCAGCAGCTGTGGACTGCGTTCTCTAACAAAGCACACCTTGGAAACAGGTAAAAGGATGTGAAGGATTTGCACATGAACCTTCCTCCTCTTACCCTACATCCTGTTTCCACAGCCTTTGCCCAAAACAAAAGTAATCTTGGAGGTGCTCCCCAAGTACTTGTTAGTAGGTGGCATATTTAGGATTAAAATAGTGGAGAACATGGGGAATGTCCTTGGCAAATTACCCAGCTGGCATCTGGAAAATATTTTTTTGTATGCTAAGATGTTCATTCTAATAAAAATAGTGAAAAATAGCAAACAGACCAATTTGTCATTATCCATAGTAACATAAAAAGACAATAGTCTGTTTTCTATATTTAAAGGTCTGTACTTGAAGTGAGTGGCAAAGCACTCAAGGATAATAGTAGTAGAACTGGACCCATTTTTTTTTCCTCATCTATTAAAATAAATCATGCAAAAGACTTACATTTGCAAATTTTACCATTTCCCTCCATCCCACTGGGGCAAATTCCACATGCATACGATCCAAAGGTATTAATACAAGACACTCCAGGAAAACAAAGACTCTCTTCACATTCATTCCTGTCTTCCTGACAAGTAAGCCCTGTGGCAAAACAAAGGGAAGGTTAATAATCAGGAAAGATTCCCTGTTTATTCCTCAGCTCAAATGTTGAAGCAGACTAAGGCTTACTTCTCAGCTGTAAACTCATTACAGGGAACGTCACTCATATTAGTGCCAAATTCCCCACCGTCTCATTTAACCTGCTTTTATCACATTGTTTATTACTGTCGTTACTGGCACCAGAAGTGCTGAACTCGAGACTACTGCTCGTAGAAAACTATGCATGTTAAATAAGCTATTTCCCCTGCATTCCACATCTTCGCTTGTGCTTTTGTTGTCTTGTTTATGTGAGATCTTTGTCATATACTGAAGAAGCCGATGAATGTCACCGTGTTGGCTTTAGGATATGAAGAGCCATGTACTGACCTTTTGTGCTTTTTATTTCTATGTGAACCTCACATAACTAATAGCTTATTGTGAACCAGCTTGATAGAGTCTGGCTGAAGGTAAACCTTACAAAACGATCAGGTTTTGTAAAAAACAATTTTTCTATTTAAAATTAAAATTTGAAGAGACATTCTGAAAATATCTCTGAGCCATGGTGCTGGTGTATGGAAGATAAGCTGCTATAGGTTCTGATCCCCAGAAATGTGTCTTGACTATTACCGATTTTGGAAATAGGGGTTTAAAAATCTCTTGAAGCAATTGATATTCAAATTCACAACTCCGGATGATTTAACAGATACCTATAGGGGAAGGTGACCCAAAAGTTAAAATTACTATCTGAGCAGCAAAAGATGCAGAGTAATCACACATAGCGTTGTTAAAAACTCCCTCAGGCTTCAGGTATGTGTGCTGCTGCCTCTGTGCACTTGAGAATACTTGCTTGGCTGTCGCTGGCTACCAGGGCATGCAGCGCTGGCAGCAGGCTGTAAACCAGCCCCCGTCACTTCTGCTAAGGCGTGCCCTTCGTCCCGCGTAGGAATACCCAAGGAGATTGGGACACTCTCTGGAGAATTCACATACCTGCTTCAAGACCTACCACAAGGTACAGAATGGCTTGTTCCGTATCAGATATCCAGCTTTACTCATGAAAGAAGATTTAAAGATAAAAGAATATTTTTTTCTTCAAAAAAAGAAATTTGTCACAGTTGAATGAATTACAGGATGATAAAACCAGAACATTATTATTCGTCTCCTACAACATAATCTCTCGTTGCTTCAGCATTTCAGATAGCTTCCACTACTCTTTTCAAGTTAAAATAGCATGTCCATGTAAAAAACTCAAATTGAAATCTCTCTTGATTGAGCTGCCTAAACAAGTTAGTGACATCACCTTCTCTTGCCTGCTTTGTCTCGTGAAAAAAAACCCAAAACAGTAGCACAAAAGCCACATCCCTTTTCTGATGCTACGCTATGCTATATGATGCTATGCTATGCTATGCTTAGCTTGAGAAGCTAAGTTGTTTTGGTTTTGCATGCCTCTTGCTTCTTTCATGTAAGTTGGACATCACAAAGTATTTCAGGGCTCAGTTTACTTTTTTTCCCTCCCCTGTTACATTTTGGATTACTATTTCTATTGTATAATTTAATTAACACATTTGTAGCATCAGGCTGCTTTTCTCTGGTACTGCTTTCTGATGACGCATTTCGAAATTATTAGACAACACGTTCTGGAAAATATTGAATGAGTTAGCCTCTGATTAGATTAGTAATTATTTTCTTTGAGTATCTTAACAAGAATAAACACAATACTATAGACAATGAGACTGGGAATGACGTTCCCAGTTTCAGTAACAACAGCCACTTCTCCCTCAGTCCCCTTTCCTCCCTCCTACATACTCTATTTTTGGTGCAAAGGGCTGGCTTTAAAAATCTCAATGATGTGAGAATTACAAAAAGCAAAGGAACACCATAAGTAACAAACTAATTTTTAAAATCCCCTTTGACTGAATTTTGTAATGTAAGGGTGGAACTATGCAAGCACTTCATTTCACTCGGAGAGATTTGATTTTAAGCAGTATCTGATCAATTTGGGCATAACGACAGTCCAGCAGAGTCCAAGGATAAATGTTTGCAAAGTCTGAAACTTGGCTGAAGGTTCCTAAAGAAGCAGCAGAAATGGACAGAAAACTGTCTGCATGAGAAGTGTCAATTATTCTGTTTGCACGACCTCCGGTGCACCGCAACACAAGGGAGTCTCGAGTCTCTTGGCACTGCTACAGTACCAAAAACAAAAAAAAACAAAAAAAAAAAAAGGAAAAAAAAAAGAATAAAAGATCTTTAGGTTGCAAGGTTGAAACGTGTTTCTGTGCCAGCAATATTGCTCCATCCCTGGATGAGAAATGGACTGAGAAGATAAAACCCTTTTATGGCTCAAGAGTAGTTGAATGGTGGTTGTTACAAAATCGACAGTACCCCTCCAAGTTTTGAACATGCTTCCAGTGGTTTTTTCTGACCACCTACAAATGCAGAGAAAGACTTTTGATTCTCTTCACATTAAGTTGACTCTAAAGGAACAGGCAATCTCATGTAGGGACTCTATGGTTATAATACACAATGAACAAATCTTGGGGTTTTTTTCAGTTTCCTGAAAAGTGAAATGAAATTATAATTCCATCTTCCCCCTGCCCCAGTTTTATATTAATCAGTGGTAGATGGGTAAAGAAAGAATGGTTTTGTGGCTGAGATACAGTTTTCAAGGGTGAGTTCTCTTCTCAGGTGGGTGATGTTCTTGCTTTCAATGGCCAAAAGAAGAAACAACAGGAATTCTTGTTATCTTGTTAATAACAAAGAAAAATGAATGAGCTCTGAACACTTGTTGAGATAAATGCATATAACTCTGTGCAGAATTTTAAAGTAATAATAATTCTGGAGTCATGCTTCTCTGAGATTTTCCAATGGCTTCTCTGCCTGCCTCTTCCCATTCCTGTATTTTATCCCTATGTTGCCTGAGATACATGGATGCACCTGATTGCTACTGCTTAGCAACACACTGTGTTGCTGCTTCTCTTGAGGTTGTGTTTGGGAAGGTCACAAAAGAGTTAATTTTTTGCTTCTACTACCTGTTCACTATCATTTGTAAAGATTTGACAGTGAAGTGGTGCTGTCACTTGAGCAGTATAGCATTGCCTTCTCATTAGATTATTGATGGTTTTCTGGGGAATTGAGACATAAACACAGCATCAAGGATGAGCTTTTATTGTTGTCACAGAACCTGCCCTGAAGTAAAATCATCTGCTTCCCAGCTGGCTTTCAGCTCCACTTGCTTATAATTGTTCATCTGCTATTAAAACTTTTAGATATATTCCTGTTTCACTCAATCATGTCTTTTTTTCTGTTGTTGCTTGTGTTTTAGCATTTTTGGCAAGGGAATTGCAACAAAAACAATAGGCATTTATTTAACCTGGCAAGAATTAAAGGTTCAGGAAAACCCAGAATTTCTCTGGCCATCAAGGTGGCCTGTGTCCTTGTCTGTAAGTCAGCTGTATGTTGCTTTCAAGCAAGTTATTTTACAGTGTTGAACATTTCATTCTTCATGGTTTGTGTAAGAGTGAGAACCACATTTCAGAATATGATCCATGTGAATTTACAAACAATGCATTGTAATTATGGCAGACTATTTTATGTGGAATAATAGAGCTCGATTTCACTCCATCTGTCTGCAATACCACCTAAAGTGAGAAGGGCAGCACTGTGAAACTGGTGATGATGAAACAACAGGAGCAGATCCACTGAAGTTGTTAACTCATGGAATTATAGTGCTCTTTATTCATTTAGCCCACCTCCTTACAGACAATGAAGAGTTGTTCTTATTGTATATTTCCAAGTGTTTAATGAAATACAGCCAAAAAGGTTCCCAAATTTCCCTGTGCTCATAAGAATGTTATTTCCAGGGGGATTCAAGACATCCTGCATGTTTTTGTTTGGTTTGGGGATTTTTCTATTTTGACCAGACTTTCAATTTCTAACTTTATTCTCCAGGCTTAGGCTTGTTTGTTCTTGCATCAGTAGAGTCATCGGTGGTGCAAACACTTTGGATAGCAGCAGGCTTTGGCTATTTGATAGTATTACCTGGAATCTATACTGTCCAGGTGTCATACAACTTTTAGGCCATTTTTCTGAACTTCCACTTCTAAATGCTTTTTATTTGTCATTTCTGCTGAAATTTTGTAGTTAATGAAATCTGTACTTGCAGTCCCACATGACCAAAACAAAGAGGGTTTCATGAATTGCTGAAAGGCAGAAAGGGTACCTTGCTGTCTGTACGAGCCCACTGAGTGAAATCTGTTCATTGCTTTTGTTTATAATTAGTTTCTTATGTATATACACGTACTATAAGCAGTAATAAATTATGTGCATTTGACGTTACTTCTACTTGATTTTTCAAACCTATAGCACTGCACAGCAGCCGATATTATAGGTCTCATTAATTCATTCATGCTTTCAGACGTGGACACAGTAGGGTTTCTGACATGTTCCAGGACTGAAACCTGAGCTCAGCTTCAGATGTTTTTTTCTCACTCTGCTTTTGAAATGGTTCTGGTCCAAAAGAAGTTCTAACACAGTTTCAGTTAGCACCTTTCAACTGAGGGACACTAATTTGACAAGAAGGGATAGCAACACCATGTCTTTACTTTCCAACGACTGTGCAGCGACTTGGGTGAATGAGGGGTTGTTACTCCAACCGGCCCTTTGTCTGCAACGCTAAGCAAGAGTCAGCTTTAGAAATCCTGTTCAATTCCTGTGTGTTCAGATTTGCCTTGTACCTCCTGAAGAGCTAAACTGCAAATGAAAAGACCACAATTTCTGTGAAACTCCAGGAAAAGGCCAATGTGAAAATCTGCTATGTTGGAAGCCAGCGGTGTTATGAGCAGCTGGAGCGTGGGTCCTGGCTTGGAGGAGGTGCTAGGCACTCCGCAAGACCCCAAAGCAACTCAGTTCAGCCAAACTCCAGATGCTTAATGCAGCAGAGAGTCTAACGGCTGGTTCAGCTGGTTGCAGTTTGCAGAGCATGCGGGAGTCATTGTCCACGTGCTGTCACAAGCGCTGTATCAGGTGTGCGAACCTTTCACAGATGTCCTGAGTGCAGTGAAGCTGACTATAAATTGCATGGCAGGTGCCAACATGTTCTCTCCTCATCTGTGTTATCTATTAGATACTTCTCTTTCTCCTCACATTTCAGGTTCTCCTGTTTGCACTGTATGTCTTGCATCCAATTCTTTGGCCTCACTGCAATTTGTTCTCCAACTCCTCCTCTTCACGCTTTTCATTCTGCTTTTAGAAAAGAACTGGTTTTGGTGCAGTGATCATCCCTCTTCCCTGCATCTCTTAAAATCATATTGCAGCCAGTTCTGACCAGTTTAAGAGGTTGGGTTTGTTCCATCAGGATATCTGACAACTGAATGGGTTTGAGGTTTTCTAATGTTTAAATTTAAGGAAGCTTCAAGTGGGACTAAAGGCCAATTTGTTTTGGCATGTTTTCCATATCTACTTCTCCTTCCTAGACCTAGAAGAATCATTCATTCCCAGTTCCTTCATTGGTTTAATTTAGTAAAATCCTGTGGAGTGCAAAAGGGTCCCGGTTCTTTGCCTTTTCACTCTTCCAGTCAGTCTTCTCCTAGCTCATCTCATGGATGGACAAATCCATGGGAAATAAGCAGGTGGAAACTGAGATCAAGGAGATTCACAACCTCCTTGAGTGATCACTTCAGGACCACAGAGCTTTAGCTCATTTTTCCTTCCTTGAGCATGGATAGATAGATAGCTGGTTTTGCACATTTTCTATCTGTCTAAAGCTAAGTCATGGGAGCAGAAGAGGAGGCTTATGTAGTCTATTTGACAGATGCTTGCAGTCATGCTGCACTCAAAAAATCCTGTAGCATGATATATCTCTAGTTAAATCAGAGATGGAAACAGTGAGGTGTTACCTCCCAAACCAGGGGGACATTTACAAAAATAGCTATCCACACTGTCCACGCATGTTCCGCTGCCGCAGGGGTTTGATTTGCAGTCATCGATATCTTCCTGGCAAAATTCTCCATCAAATCCATTTGGACATAAACACAAGTATTCACCAAGGCCTGGAGGGAATTTAATATTGGTAACACATGTTCCAGCATTGAGGCAGCTGCAGGGCTTGACTCGAACCTGAGGAAGGCAAAAGGGAGTTGTGGTAAGATTCCTCCGCATACTCACAGCGGAGAGGTATATTGTTACCCTTTAGGAAGGGACAGATTTGCAGTTCAAACATGTTATCTAGTATTATGAAAACTTATTTCTAACCAATTTCCTTTGTCTAGATATATGGTCTCATACTCAGCATACTTATTTATTTGACTGAAAGCTTGACATTAAAGGGATTTTTTTTTAATCATTTAGGGGCATTTTAACTTCTTACAAGAAGAAAAATCCTATTTGCTATAACAGCAGTTTTTACATAGTATCTGAGGACAGAATTTGTTCCTTAGTCTTCAAAGAAGAAATGAAAAGTCTTTTCTCTTTGCCTGCCTGCCCTCCTTGCTGTTTCACATTACAAATGGCTCCTAGGCAGGAAGATGATTGTGGAATTCCTTAGCTGATCTCTCTCTTCCAGGAAGAGAGGTCCATAGTTGTATTTTATATATGTACAAGAACAGTATTTCAACAGATTCAAACCTCTGTTTTATCTCATCTAGCTAAAAATAAGTCTAGTTTGAAATGTTTCCATTAAAACCATATCTAGACTCCAGTTTCCCCTTTGCTGTGTGGGCTCAGCAGATTGTTGTTTTTCATGACAGTGCTTTGAATGAGTAAAAATAAGAATCTTTAAGAATAAAAATCTTTTTCTTCTCAAAACTGTTCTTATGTCAAGAGTGTGCATCCCACTTTATTAGCTCATCCTATCATAGGATTAATGTTAGGCTATGCAATAAAGACAAAGCAATGCATAAGCTCTGCCAAGAAACTTAAAGTGTGGAGTAATGACATAAGAGCAAGACACCCTCTAAAAACATCATTGAGAATGAGTTATAATCTCCCTTTTATAGCTAAAACTTAGTCTTTTACGTTATATGCTTTTTTCTGCAATCCAAATGCAGAATGTGAATTTTAAAGCAGATTAATGAACCATTAACAGGCTCTGCAAGAGTGTTTTTTCAAACAGCAATCAATAGCACTCTTTCTTGTTCCTTGTATATATAGTTTCTATGTTCTCAGAGATATTTATTCCATTAATTGATCATTATTGCTGTGCTGGATAATATACACTTATGAGGAAATAGCTGAAATCTTAGTTTTCAAGACAGTAACAAATTATTAGCTGTAATGACAATTGCGCCAAAACAATGACATGATAAACAGGTTTGTTTTGTTTTTCCTTTAAAGTGTTCATTTCCTTACCTCAATGGAGTATGTGCTCTGTGCATTGCATTCATCCGACACAGTGAATTCAAAGGTCTGCATTTCTTCTGAATCCACTTTCCAGATAAGGAGGCCAGCAGGAGAGAGCCTGGCATCCTGTGGCCCAGCTTCTAAGATGAATAGCACAGCTGACCCTTCCGGATCCACTGCTATTAACTGGTAAACAAAATTCTCACCAATAAATGTCAGCAGCTGGCTGGAGGGGGCCTGGAACACAGGAGGCAGGTTGTCTAAACAGCAAAAATGAAACCATGATTACATAAATTCCAGTTTCTCCCATGCAAACATTCACAGCGCAGGTCTTTGAGGAGTACTCTCAGTGAAAAAGGTACAGAACGTACCCTGAGACCGATGGAGGAAGAAATTTAGATGTTAGAAGCAGCAAATGGCTTTACCAAAGAATACTCTTTGGTAAAGAATAAAATGATACCTTTTTTCTCATGTCTTTCTCATGTCCCATACAGAACGTTTTTCCCATACTGAACTTTGATTTTTTTTGATGTGTTGTCTGGTACGTAACTTCTATAACCTTCCGCTAGTCCCCCAGTTCTTACTAAAACTTTAATTAATTGTATTTCTAACTCTTATATATATATAATTATTCTATCTACCACTTTATCTATCCATTTAAATATAAGTACAGTCATTCTCAAAATGATGAATGACAAATGAATTAGGTGGACAGCTCAGGGGAAGAATAATTGTGTAACTCTTCCATTGGGTAGACTCTCCTGCCTTTACATGTGAGTAGTAATTAAGACTGAGCAGTTTGACTGAATTGGGTTGGACATTTCATCAGGTATAAAGGTCTTCTCAGTGCCGGCAAAAGTACATCAGTGATGCTGAGATTCTCTGTCCTCAGTGACAGCAGTGCGTATCATGTCACCATTGGCATTGCTATTTTTAGTGTTACTTATATTCAATAGTTCCTTAATGAAGATAAAAGCCTAATTATACTGGGTTATTTTACAGCAAGAGACAAATGCTGCCCAAAGATACTTACGATATAAATGGGTAAGGAGGAAAAGGTAGGGAAAAGTATTACATTTTAAAATTAGAAATCAAGGAAAAGTAAGATCGGATGAGTACCCTGAGGTGACAGCAGCTCTGTGCAGGGCCAGGAATTTCAGCTCCATGTCCTAAGCCTCCTCGGTCTCAAACCAACTTTCTTCTTTAACCAGCAGTACAAATTGACATGTATTGATATTTAAAGGAATCTTCTCAAAATGTAATTTGACCGTAGTTATGTTTAACTTAATGAACATTTCTAATACCAAGGTTTAATTTCAAGTCACAATCTAAAACTATGAACTGTGTATGTGTTTTCATAAGGACTGCATGGGTCCTTGCATTATGCTTGCGGGAAGTTATCATTAGTGGGGTTTTTGTGGTGCATATCCTTTTACCAAGCTTTGCTTTCCATAGCATGTCTCACATTATGCAATTATTTAAATGTGTCTTTCCACTCACTCATTGCTGCTGTGCTATCTGAGCTTTCTAAACTGCTTGTCCAGCAGATTGGCCTGGCATAACTGTTGAAAGCTTCCATCTATTAATTTACCTTTTATTTCCCAAACACTTAAACCATGGAGCAAATAAAAGTTGTGCCCAAAATAATCAATGAAATATTGATGCTGGGTATGCATTTACAGATAAACACAAAGGTGTTAACTGGATGGAGGGTAATGAGAAGTTGTCGGTACAAAATAACATAAGTTCTGAAAGTAGTCTGTGAGCAAGAGTGTTTCTAATTCCACAGAAACTTCCTTGCCATCCAGTGAATCTATATACACTCCCAATTAATGCAGTATGTTTAAAAAGGTTTTCACAGTTTTGAAAACAAGTCTGACAAACCTTTTTTTAATATTTTTAAGTTTTGAAAGTATTGAAAAATGAACCATGATCTATTTCAGATTTCCCAAATCACTTCTAGCTTTATAATTCCAAAACAAATGCAGTTTTTCCCTTTTAAGTAATTTTCTGAATTTTAAAAACAAACTGTCTCAGTGTTAGTAATGAGTTTGTCTATATAACAATCAGGATCAGCTCATCCCTAGAGATGCTGCTGCTGTGGCCAATACAATGGAAGGACAGAAGGAAGGCAAGGTCTGTGAGTCACAGATAATATCTCTCATTAGACTAATCTGTATCCCTGGGGGGAAAAAGCACAGCTTTCAGGTGTACAAGCTCTTTTTCAGGTCTGGCTTACCCGTAGGCATTTTAACTACTCATCCAAGTAACATCCAGTGGAATGTTCAGTTGGCCAACACTTGGGATGGATCTGCCTCCACCTTTTCCTGACAAGGAGTTTTAAATTCTAAAAGTCAGGCTTTTTAGGATATAAACTAGAGGTATATGTTTTTAAACAGAGACAATTAAAAGTGGCTAGGATGGAACAGAAATTAAAAGGACTCATGAACAACTCTCTCCCTTCCTATTGTGTTCTTGATTCCAAAATTGATTTCAGACAACTTACGACTTCTTGTGTTGCTGGAAACTCTTGGGTCCTTTCTGGTCATTCTCAAGGGTCTTTCTGTCACCCCTGAGAAGAGCGTGTCTGCTCAGTGCTCTCCTCGGCAGAGTCTCCACCGGAGCGGTGGACTCCAGCCACCGTTACAGCTCTCGCTGTTTCTGTGGCCATAGCTTGCGCTCTCTAGGAGCCTCTGTCCCTGAGCATCCCCAGCTGGTCCCCAAGGACAAGAGCAATCTTCCTCTCTGTCCTGAAGGGTCCTGCTCATCTACTCATCCTAAAGGAATATAAAACTGCAAACAAACAAAGCAAACCGGTCCTGTCACTCACATACCTCTCTGCAATTTGCTTGTGTTTACAGAACCTCGAAGTGCAAGGAAACTCTTTTTAGAACCAACACATGAATCTACATAAAAGCGGTATTATAATCTTTATATTGACTAGATGTAAATGTGCTCATTTAAGTGGGGAGACGCACTGCGAGGCTAGTGCTGTTAGAGACACGGGTTACCAGTAAAGCAAGCGGTAAGTAATGGTGGTTATGTGCACTGGGGATGCAGCCATGCAAAGGCTACGATTAAGCCCTCAGCATTCAGGAGGTGCTTCAAAAGGCAGCCCCTGCGGTGATGGGCTACAGAATGAGCCTTTAGGTTCTGTGGCAGTGAAGGTAATGAGTGGCTGGTTCCTATCACTCAGGCTTCCTGCCAAGCCAAGGTCTTTTGTGTGGCATTTCATAGGATTTGGCTCAGGGAAAGAAGCAATTCTTCCCGATACCAAAAATATACATTAGTGTTTTAAAACCAATGTTTTCCCCAAAGTGTTCTCTTAAAGATTCATCCCTGTGAGATGGTGACAGATGTATTTAGGGTCCATCACCTTTACTGACAGACTTGGGCACTGCATGGGGCACTGGCATATCAACAATTTCATTTTCAGGTGTTATTTTGCTTTTATTAATTTGAGATTTGTCAAGTTTCAGCCAGAATGAGATATGTGCTCAGATGTGTATGGAGTACTGTCTGCTTCGGGTCAGTCTGCATTTCTGGTGCACCCAATTACTCTCATTGCAAACAGTCCACTCACGCTATTATGCAGGATAGATTCATGTTAACCGAATGAGGGAACCATGTATTCATGTATTTCATAGACCGAGCCATAAATTCCCAGCTAAGTGCTTCTAAATCTTAGAAAAAACTGTCTTACTTTCATTAATAGACCAGGTGAACTTAGAAATGTCAGGTTCACAGAGAAGACAAGGACTGGTAGGGCTTGACTCTCCTTCACCATAGCAAAATCCATCTATATTGCAAGTATTTTCCTGCCAAAAAAGGAAATAAAAATGGGTGGGAGGTGGAGGAAAAGAACAAAGAAATAAGAAAGATAAGAAATTAGCAGTCAATAATTTCTGGAGACAAACAGAAACTTGCTTGGCTCTTGAAACAATAAAATAGTAGCAATTTAAATGCTGGTACTGTCTTCCAGCAGGGAGAAAACAAGAGGTAAGTTTTCCAGTTTTCCAGTGTGAGATCAATGTAGCTGTGAATGTTTTAGCTTAAGCAACGTGAGATGTTGTTTGCTATAGATGAATGTGACAGAATGTGATTCTCTTTTGGTTTTATGTAGTGTATGTGATCGTTTTTCCCAGCTGTGACTACTAATATAATGATTACTTGGTAACGCTCACAAGTGAGCTGCATGAGATTAACACAAATTGAGACTGGATTGAAATTTGGGAATCCTTTTCAGGTAACAATAATGTCTGGAGGTTCTTCATAAAAATATGAAAAAGCAATGATATAAAAGCAGAATAAAGAACTGCGTTAGATTTTAGGCTTTTATGAGACAACCGTAAACAGCAGCTAAAGACCTTGATGGTGCTAGGTCGGGCAGAGCGTCCCAGCAGAGGTCCATGCAGCGCACTGTGGGCACAGCAGCCTTTGAGGCTGACCTGGTACTCTCCTAGTTCAGGTGGCCACCCGGGCCAGGGAGGCTCTGTGGCTTCCAAGTGGGCTGAAGACACTTGGGTTGTCTGAGAAGCAAACACAGGGACATAACTAACAGATGGAATTAAACATCGACGCCACGGGAAGGTCCTTTGCCTTTTGCTTGTAGCCTGTGCTGGGGCACGCTTGCAGATGGGACTTCATCTGGCATTGCAGACGCCCAGGAACACATGGGGCTCTGCTGGGAGACAGGGGATGTCACCTCTGTAGCAGGACAGCAGGAGGGAGAAGCTTCCAGGGCCAGAGACATTTCTCCTTTTCCCTCCTTTGAATACATGTTGCTTTTTTGAGACTGATGTGTGTCCTGTTACCGGCCTTGTGATTTCTATCTACTGCTTTTTTAGTTTCTCAAACTTCTTTTTCAAAGTATATTAGTCAATATTTTAAATAATACCACTTTAAGAGTAATGGGTAAAATAGAGAAACAAAAAGGACTCTCATAATTGCCTCAACATGATAGAACATGACAGATCGTCAACATTAAAATCTGGATGTTAATTAGATTTTATTACATTGTTGTTTTCAAAGGCTTGATGTTCTGATGAAAAAGATGCTTTTTTCTGATGTGATAGTGTGGTACAGAATGGGCTCCATAAAAGAAGAACACAGAATGTGAAATGGCCTGATATAAAATGTCCCCTAATTGAAACACCTTTTTGGAAAGCAATTTAGGTATTACAAAGTAATGTTATAAGAGGGGTAATTAGAATGTGGTCTGATGCAAATGGAAGCCTAGTTCAAATAGTCCCTTGAAGCATCTTATGATAGAAATTATTATAAACCCTAGAGAACACCAGCATATTGAGAAAACGTATATATTCCTGAGATTCAAAAATGTAAGAATAAGGAAAGCCTTTGACAAAAAACCCACCCTAGCTTTAATTGAAATGGCTCCGACATAATTATTTTAATCTGAAATTTAAATGGTTTTGCCCTCATTTAGCCTATAAAGTAATTTCTATTCACTGTTTTATTTGAAAAAATATGAACTTTTGTTTTATTTTGGTAACTGGTATGTTCTTGCAATCAGTGCAAGTCTGAAAACTGTATTTTCCCGTTAGTGTCAATGAGAACAGTGAGACAAACGAGTTAGGATATACCTGACTCATCTTCATTTTATAAAAATGCAGACCGGCGGTCTCCTATTCATTCCTGTTCGCCTCAGGGAGGGAGAGCGGGATCAGCACATTCAAATATCCCACCTGGTACCCTCCAAAAGTTTCTTTTAAAGCCCCACGAAAGACAGAAGAGCTGTGGAAGGCAGCTCTCCGGGAGACGAGAGCCGGGAAGCTGCTGAGCAACCTGCTCTAGTTGGAGACGTCCCTGCTCACTGCGGGGGGTCGGAGTAGGTGACCCTTAGAGGTCCCTTCCAGCCCAAACTATTCTCTGATTCTAAGCTCTCTTTCAGGGGCTGGGGCTTGTTACACTAATAGGTCCACAGGAAAACGGAGGGTTCGAGTGCTCTGCAGGCAGTTCCTAGCATGTTGGCAGTTTGAAACCTAACACTAGATTTTTGATTAGAGTTTTGAAACTGTCAAAGTACGATACATTTGTACTTAGCAGTGTTTAATGTAAGCAAGAGTGTTTTGTGCTCTCTCAAGGGTGTTTTCACATGACAAAAACTGTATAACCTGCGTCTTCGTACACCTCTTGCTGAGGCAGAAAATGGGTGTAGAAATGATATACCTTGCATTACGGTGCCCTCACCAAACAGGCTAGGAGAGGTAAAATAGCAGAGCCACTTCAGAAGTGAAGTTAAGCTGCCTTTCAGGGGCGACTCCTCAGTCTTATTTACTTCCATTAATAGCTGCAAAGTATAAATATTGTCAACCATGGTCTTTCTGGAGGTGTCTGTCTGTGAAAGGTCCGTCATAAAGCGTGCTCTATCGGGTATTCGTACCCCACTTAAATATGAAAAAAATAATATCACAGACAGGAGATCGTGAAAGAGAGAAAAGCGTTAGGCTGTGCAGCTGACCTATGGAATAGATTTTACTCTTCTAAACCAATTATTACACACAGTACGTCAAAGGGAGGGAGACGGCTAAGGAAGAGATGAACGATCCATATTAAACCTTTGTGCTCTTTAAATTACCTTTAATTTACAAAGTCCGGTTGGATGGAAATGGCAGGCCTGGCAGACTGCATCGTACAGGGTCAGCACTCTGGAATTACTGTACTGGAAGCCATCGTTAGTGATCTAAATGATACAAAAATCATCCTTATAAGTAATAATGTCCCATATGGAGACTGTCTGCTCATTCTGGAGCATATACCGTTGCCCCCTTGAACTGGATGCTTGCCAGCAAGATGAATTAAACCACTTGTGAGTGGCTCCACTGCAAGCTAACAAATCACTTAATGCTCCAAACTGGAAACTCTTCATTAATAACCAAAGGATCTTTTGACTCTGCTGGCATTCAAGTTTTCTGATTGCTGTTAGGTTTTTTTCTGAGGGGTTTTTTCAATACCGTTATGGAAACTGCATAGGTACTGGAGTACAAGGGCGTCTTTCAAGGAATTGTGAAAGAAATTCAGATTTTTGCCTGAAATTCAGGACCACTTTCTTCCTAATGGCAACTCAGTAAGTAAACTCCTTGTGGTGGAAAAAAAAAAAAGAGAATGAATATTATTTTGGTGATTTTAAATTAACCTTTAAAAAAGTGCTAGAATGGATAATATCAGACAGCAACAGTCCCATTTCCATAGGAAGGTACATTAGAAGAACGGTCACCTCCCGTCCCAGCTCACAGCTGTCTGTACATGTAGGTAATTTAGAAAGCCTTAAGTTAACATGACATTTTTCATATATGAATTCTTACACAATATGAATTACCTTGACTAAAGGTAAAAACTCTATTAAAAGAAGTAAAGAACTTACGCTGCAGTTTGAGAGCAGAAGAAAATAAAACAGGCAATCCCCCCTCAAGACCTGCTCTTCACCAAAAGACAATGCTTATTGGCAGCAAGACTGCCATTAAGAATATATTATTCCTAATGCAATTTACTTTTCATTTAATTCTTTTACCAGAGCGTCCAATGGTGTCTCAATACTGGTGCACTAATAATGGTTGAAGAAATGGGTAGACAGGGGAAAATATAAAAAGCTGTAAAATTGCACTAATTGTTCTGTCTGAAGTGAGCATTGTGAGTGAAATTCAACTCTTGCCAATTTGAATTTTTTAATCTGTGTTTTTTTCTGCATTCTTTTATAAACATCCATTTTGGTCTCTTTTTTAGAACTGGGTTGTTTTATCACAATTTTAATTGCTTTTCCATTAGTCACATTAGTGATGTGGAACAAATACTTCAATGAGACCTAAGCTGAGCAAACCTCTCTTCAAATTCGGTTGGCCCTTAAAAGCCAAAGGCACGCTTAGAGTTGTGCCTCGGTTGCTTGAACATACGTATCATATGGAAAGAAAGAGCCACTTCTTCTGGATAAGCAGTCAGGACAATCAGGAATTCTGTCACTTCTGCCTGACGTATTTCATTCATCATGAAACGATCTTGGCTATTTGTATCACTCATCATCTACATTCAGTTAGACTCATGCGAATGTTTGTAAACGAAAAATGAAAGTTGGAAAAACTTGCTGAATTCAAATGCGGTTTCTGCCTCACTGACTTTTTAACAATTTTTTTTTCTGCTCTTGACAATTACAGGCAATGATAACAAACTGAGGATACGCGCGAGACGTGCTTCCCAAATTAGGTAAGTGCCTGCCAAGCTCTTTCACCTCTTCACCCAGGCACCTGTGTGGACAGCGCAAGGCATCTGCTGCCCAAGTAGGAGTTTGTATTTTGATATCTAAACTAATTATACAAAACGCTCTGGTGTAGCCCCATGTACTTCCTTATCTGCGTTCAGCAGCGTGTCATGGAAAGAATGAGCAAAATCTGAAACATGAATACAAGAGGAGATAAAATGAAAGAACGCTGAGAAGAGCTTGTCAAGCCCCCGTTCCCCCAACATTGGTAGTGAAAAAAGGTCATGTGAAACTTTGCTCATTCCTCTGAAATTTTAATTGGGAGGGGGGAGAGATCCTGTAAATATTGAACAGTGATATTTCCAGAAAGAATTGTTTTGAATTTCGGTTCTGAAAAATCTTGTACCTACATTTTGAAAAGCATCTATTAACATAACACAGAAGATCAATGTTGCAGTAAATTTTATCAGGAATTTTCCGGAGCACTAATTTTTGAACATCTGTGGAATTCATTTCAAATCAATTTTTATCTTGAAAAGCTCCCCTGTTTTGCTCCCTGCACTGCTATGTAAGGCCAGCTACCTTTGAAGTGGAGCGTCGAGCTCTGCCTCCCCAGTTCCTTCAGCAAAAAAATCCACAGGAGAACTAGAATTAGCATGAGGACGGAGACGATTTAATTGTGCATTCGCTGCACAGCCATAAACCTGGTTTTTCTGCAGGGTTTGAAGGAGAGAGAAAGGGCAGAAGGCTTACAGATGCAGAGGCTTTCTTGAACTTGAATGCGAGGAAAGACATTCTATATGTGTTTTGAGGGGAAAAAATGAGAACACTTGTACAGACCTCCTCAGGGCTGAAATGCAACACTTGAAAGCAAACTGCATTGTAATACTTGAGATGCAAGGAAGCTATCCTAGATACATTGGAGAAACAGCCCTGTGCACATGGGAAAATGCTAGCTGTCCTCTTGGGCCAGGAGTCTCAAGGGTTTCTCCCTCTCAGATCCTTCAACCATGAGGCAGCATTTCATCTCACCGTTGGCAGACTTCATTATCTCCGTAGAGAAATTTTGGAGCTCTAGCACAGGAGCTGCCCTCCTGGTTCAGGCTTGGTGTCTTCCCCCTCTGATGGCTCCTTCTCCAGAAGGAGGGTACAAGGTCCACCCTGGCAGCTGATGCTCAGGCTCTGCTCCCACAGAGGTCTTACACCAATCTCATAAAACACAAATCCCTATCTATTTAAAATAAATTGCTGGATAGAAAACACGTAGTGCCAAACATCTTTCTGTTCCACCTAAGCCACATGGCAGCACTTGTGCCTGGTCTGATCTGTGGTACCAACACCTGTGGGGTGCAGGACAGGTAGTAACACCACAGTGAAGTGTTTTACGCATTTCATTTTTACGTGCTGCAATTTTCAAAGCACATCTGCAGTCTTTGTACCATAGCAATATAGTTTTCTTAGCTATGGAGCCTTTAAATGATCTCAGTCTTAAAAAAGCTACCAATCTGCAGAAAATAACCATCCAGGCTGAGAGTGAGACCAAGGGTAGCAAGCGCAGGGTCAGTAAGGCACTGATTTCCTGGGAATATTTAGAAAGTAGGTATCATTTTGTGAACATAAGGGATTAAAACCACAACTGAGAAGCCGGCATGAGCAGGTGCTGCACACGCTTCTTCCTGAAGTCATTCAAGACCATGACCATGACCATGACCATCTCTGCTCACGCCATGGCAGCCCTCACCAGCTGTCCAGGAGCAAGCCAGTGCTCTACTCCTGCACTGTGTATGCATCAGCCTTGCAACCAGAGAGTCAAAGCTGTCTTATACCTGCTGTCTAATCAGGGCTTTGAGCTGGGGTTTCCAGAAATGAAATACTAATGATTAACAATTGATTAGTACAACTGCATCCGTCTCAGGTGATTACCTGGAGAAGTGATTGTAATTTGCACTTGCGGATTACCTACAGAGACACCTGTTTGTACCTCATATTGTTTTGGTTGGTGTTTTTTTCTCCCCCCTACATGACATTAATGTGAGTATCTCTACAGGCATTTTCATTCCTGAAGGGAAGCAAATTGTGCTTTACATTTTAATTTACCATGACAACTGATTTTCTTCTAAATAATTTCTTAGAAACGTAAGAAATTCCTACTTTCACTTGCCATCTTGCGAATGGCTCATCACCGGCCACAAAGTGCACAGCCTCTGTCTCTGTAATGTTCAGGGGAGGAATCTGGCAGTCAACAGCCGCAGAGCTGAGAAAATCTGCTTTTGTCATTTCTTGTTCTCTTGATACCCATTCGCCATTGAGATGCTACAGGAAAACAGAAGGAGAGTGCAGAAGCTGAAGTCTCATATAAAGAAATTCCAGTTGTTAACATATGTTTATATTTCTAATTAATAATAGAAGGCATTTCCAGATGGTTTATTTAAAAGAACTGGTGCTGTTACTATAACCACAGTAAAGAGCGAGTCATGCTCATCAGTGCATGCAAAGTGGTCTATTGATTTGGGAAGTGCTGTGGTCTGCACTTGGGATGAGCAGCTGGCATGGGACAGGGTAGCGTGGTGGAGCAACTTCGTGTTTGCTCCCGGAGCGCAGCAGCCAGCTCGTTGCTCCTTGAAGGGTTGTCAGCCACTTCTCTAGCTCAGCCGCACAAGACCTCACTGCTTGTTAGGAGCCTGCGGAGCCCTAAGCAGGCATGGTAGGCAAATCTCAGCTGTGCCTCATTAGCATCTTAGCACTGAATGGGAATCGGGCTGAATGTCTTTTATGAGGTGGATTTACGAGATGAATCAACCACTTCGTCTCTGAGTATGCTGATACACCAAATAATTCAGTCCTAGCATTGCTTGTGTAGAGTTGTTTATAATAAAATTATAGCGTTAGCAGAAGAGATGGGTTTAATACTCATTAAAACTTCTGATTTGGTATTGAGCTATGACTAAGAGAATTCAAATAAGAGCCTCTGTAACTGTGTTGAGGAAACCTTATATTTAACCACAAAACTTAGCATTCAGATGTGTTTAGGAAAACAACCAAACGTACCAATTCCAGATGCACAAAATGAGAAATAATATTGTGATTTCAGGCTTCACTGGACTACAGTGCAGCTGAAGCAAACAAGAGTTAAACAAAATCCCACGGAGAAAATTAGCAAGAACGCATAGCTGTGCATTTCCAAGGAACCGGTCCTGGCAAGGCCGAGCCTCTTCAGCTCCCCTCACTCGTAGCAAACGTATTGGCAATGGGTTTTGAAGGTATTTACACCCCGCTGTGACAGTCAGAGATGATGGCACTCAGCACGGTACAGGGTAAAAGACTTCAATATAAACACGTCAAAGTCTGACTCTGTCATCAATGCTTTACGAGCCCGTGGGAAGTTGCTTACAATTAATCTGGTGACCTGGCAGTGCAGGTTGGGCGACTCTTTGAAGCCGAGGCCAAACACGCGGATCCTGGTGCACTCAGAGGCACGGACGTCGCAGAGGCCCCCGTTCTCTAAGCCTGAGATTTCCAAAGCTTGCTCTGAAAGGGTGAGAGAGATAAAAAGCTTTAGAGAGTAGCACTGACATGCTGTTCTGTTCTGGCTAATCAGAGACTTTGTTGTTGTTCCTGGTTGTTTCTTGTGGTCTTCCTTGCCTCCCCGTGAATTCCTCTTGAAAAGAGGAGCAGCAGTTGTCAAAATGGGAAGCAGCAAACCTCCATCGAATAATTGCCCTGTGCACCCAGTACTGCCAGATGTATCAGTGAGCGTTACATGGCTCACGGAATCGATTAACTGAAGCTGTGGCTTCATGTTAAAAGGTCTCCGGTGGTCATACTTCTGCTGACCCAGGTAACAGGATGGGAGCACAGCTGAGAGGACAGGGTGTCATGCCGTAGCACAGAGAAGCATGAGAATGAGAAGTGGAATTATCTGACGTTTGCCATGCCACCAGGCTCCTCATAATGTGAAGCACCAGTGCAAAAGACAGTCCTTTTTTTTTTTCCAAAAGCTATGGATGCAATGAAAGTAATGATCCTCAAAGGAATGCTTGCTTGCAAGGGTTAAGTCATTAATGGGTGGCACTCAGCTCTGCACAGTGTCAGCACAAATGTCATGCACCCGCTAAGTTTCAGTTAAATCCTATTTTGAGACCTTAAGTAGGGCTTAAGTGACATACAGCCTGTGCTGCCCCACTTAGGAGGCTGAATTTCATCCATTTGCTGTCTTTAAAATGTTTTGTCATTCTCAGGTAAAGTTTCATTTGTGTTCTGTTGTACTTTAGGTATTCACCGTTTAAAATTGCTCATTGCTTTCATATCGGGGTTAGTTTTAGAGTAAAAATGCAAGTTCATTGGATGGCAGAATTCACATCTTCACATTAGAAAAAGTAGAATTGGGCAGATATTTGCATCAGCACTTGGATACCACAACACTCAGAAGGTCTCTAATGTCCTATGTTAATAGCAGCAGTGAGGATCATGGCTTCGTATTGTTATTGATCATATTTGTAGTTCTAACGGTCAGAAGAAGCCACTGTGATGACAAATAACACAAAGCAGAAAATTTGCTTCTTGTTTCCTGAACAACACTTAAGAGCAGGGGCGTGAGCGGGAGCACGGCGTAGCGCAAGCTGTTTTCCCTGTTACACACGGGGAGAGGCTGCACAGCTTTTCCTCTTCCCTGCCCCATCACCACTGCTCTGGCAAAGCAGTATTGCCCATCAATTTTCTCTGAGCTGTAGCTTATCTAAAACAGAAGCCCTGTGACACCTAGTATTTTAATGGTACATTGGTTCAGCTCTGATTCCAGGGGCAAAATGCCCTGAGCTGAGTCGATAACCTTCCCCGGTACCTCGCTGTTCCTTTAGGGCTCTGCCATTTGAGCTCTAACTAGGATAAATGCAGTTTAAACACTGCGATCCCGCCGGATTGCAGCCCATAACAACACAGCTGCATGACTCTCATTTTTCCAGAGAAAGGAAGGAAAGCAACATAAATGTGAAAAATAGCGAAAAGACTTTTTCTGTACTTCCGAAATGCTTTTAGCTTTTCTTTCTTTTATTTTTTTTATTGATTTTATTGCAGCAGTATTAGCAGCACTGTTGGACACTTTGCAATATTTACAAGAAGAGAAATGGTTTACAGCTGGTCGGCGTCCATCAGTGAGCTGCGGACTCCTGTAACGTACAGAACTGTTAGTCAGATGTAGCCAATGGTCTTGACAAACTGCCTTCTTCTGTGGTTCGTGCATTAAAAAAAAAAAAAAAAAAGTCTTCATTATGTTTTTCATGAGATTTTAATAGTTAGCCCCACTGGTACTGAGGTACCTGGGGTTGAATTAACATTTTCATTATCATTGCAGATTTTCAGGCTTCCGCGGGTGAAGTCAAGTCTCATAGCCTGGGCAGGAGTGAGGCGCAGGAGTGTGCTCCTGCGGCCGCTCCTCTTCCAGGAGGGCCCGCTTGGTTCTCGGTGAGCCCGGCGTGCTTCCCCGCGGGTGTCCTTACGTCTTTACGAGCACCCTGAAGCTACCGCGTCACCATCGGGTCAGGGCCAGGGCAAGATTATCCAGCCTCAATGCTTTCTGAAATGGCTTGAGCTCGCTGCACGGCATTTGCACGTATTTCGCTCGAGCCGTTCCGCGCGTACTTCTGTACAGTATCTTCAAACCGATCTACACCTGGAGGAAACATGTCACCGTATAGGCTTTGCCATGTTGCGGGTTAATCAAGTTAAAAATGAGAATTCTTTTTTCTGGTGAAAAGGGTAAAAGGTTCGTGGAAGGAAAATGTGCCTTGTCGTTTCTGTCGTTTGATGGAGGTGGGGAAGAGAGAAGGGACTGAGCTGTTCTCCGGGTGGGCTTTTTTCTGTCACCTCAGCCGGCTGCGTCAGGCCACCCTCGGCTGGGAGTGCTCCAGAGGGAGGGATACACAGCGCGCTTGTGTGGGAGACCATATTTGATTTAATGCCCTATTCCTTTATTTCTGGCCATCCGAAATGTGGTGTTGAGGGCGTGGTGGAGTCCCCATGCAGATTTTTACCAAGGCCTTTCACAGGGGGTGTTGGGAGGAGAGGAAGAAGAAGGAGAAAGTCTGATGGAAATTGAAAGTAATTATAATGACTTGTTTTTAAACAAATGGCTATTGAGTTCAGACTTTAGACCTCAGTATAGGCAGTACACTCCTTTTGAAAATGGTCATTATTTTTATATAACTGTTTTTTAAAATGAGATACCACATTTAATGGGCGTAGGAATTTTAGGCGTTTGTTTTTAATGAGGTTTTCTGTCTGTTTTTGCCTTCTAGTTTTGGCACACATTAGCCAGTTTCAACTAAATGTGGAACATGACATCTCAATGACATGAGCTTCAGGAAAGTCTTGTGACAGTTGGTAGCTGGGTACTAACCCATACAGACCCTGCTCTTGCTGGGGGAAGCACAACCGGAGTTTGGCTGCTGTTCATTGCTCCCAATTAGTGGATGGGTACTTAATAAGCCTGTGCACGGCATGTGCTCACAGGCCAGAGAGGTGGAGACAGAATCACAGAAACGTTAAGGTTGGAATGATTTTAACCAACCCAACACCACCGTGCCCCCTAAACCATGTCCCGAAGTGCCACGTCCACACATTTTTTGAACACGTCCAGTGATGGTGACTCCACCACCTCCCTGGGCAGCCTGTGCCGATGCTTGACGTGAGAAGGAAACATTGGAGAGCCTGAAAGACCTTAGCAAAAGAGCTGCAAGTAGTTCGGCAGAAGACTGGAGGGGAGAAAGACAGGACCAAAGAAAAGAGCTGGGAAATACCACAAAGGTGAGAGTAAGGGCAAAAGTGCAGATATCCAGAGAAAGTGGAGGTTGTGGAGACCTGGAACGGATGTCTGATGTCTGTGGAGGGGCACATTAAAGAGGCAGGAGAGAAATCTGCGGGAAATCAGGCAGCGCATGGAACAAGCCTGTGAAAAGTATGATCTGTTTGGACATTAATAATTTACGTTTAGGAGTGTGAATAACAAAATCCATGATAGGACATCCTCCTTCTTTTCTCTGTATGGCCTATAGGCCAAAAATGTACTTTGACTTTTACTGGCAGATTAAAAACTGAAGCTCAGGGAAGCACCTGGGGCTCGGGGGGGTGGCAGGGTGCAGTCATGTTATGGAGGAGGTCCTAAGGAGCTGGGTGTTCACATCCACTGCCTCAGGAACGGCCACCTCAATACATTTCTAATGCCTGGTCCACACGTACGCTGAGTAAACACACCTGCAACTTGCCTGTCACCTGGTAGAGAATTGTACTCAGATGCTGATGAACAGCGGGAGATGTTGGGGAAAAAAGTAAAAAAAATCTCATGTTTTAATAAAAACTGTCTCAGACAAGAAAGAGGAGAGAGGACTCTGGATTTGAAGGTTGTATCTAAAAGGCTTGCGAACCTCAGGCGACTAGACGGAGGTAAGGGCTCTGTCCTGTTTGGTTGGCAGTGTTGTGCCTCCCACGAGAGACGGGGACCCTCCCGGT